ATGGATCTACTCAGCGCAGATCGATCCCAAAGTGTAGCCATTTCTGAGACAATCGTTTTAGCCGAATTGTAAAGTTCCGAACTTTTCGGAATGACTCTTTAACAGATGGTCCGAGACGTCGGTCGGGGACGCTAGCGTTAAGTCTCGAGAAGCGCTGATGCACTTCAGACCCGTCGAAATTTTAGCTGGAACGGCAAGAGATTGTCAACTCGAAAACTGCATTAAATCCTGGCCGGGAAATAGCACCGACTCGGCGGGCTCCGCTGATCTACGGGACTCTCAGATCTGCGCGGAGTCCGAGCCGAGAGAATTTCACGTCGGTGACACATGGAGTGAAGCTCGGAGAGATAACGAGTTTTCCGTGATCATCGAACAGACAGACGGAGCTGTGAGGAAAATAAGTTGTATTTGCTCGCTGGCAAAGATGTGAACGAAACTCCGACTCTAATCATGCGGATGGAAGTTGTCACTGCACCTACCTTACACGCCCACCTCGCCTTCGCACTTCCGTCCGATTAGATTTCAGCTCGCACGGAAGCCTCGAGTCGAGGAGTCAAGAACTCGATAATACCAATGTATTTACTTGGGAACCGGCTGCTCCCGACTCCGAGACACGGACGTTTACCTCGATCCGATATGCGCATTCGGCGTTAGTTTCGTTTTTGGTAAGGGGAGAGAGGATTATGATCTTGGATTCTCACGAAAATGATCTCTGTCGGGCTCCTGGACGCTCGCTGCGCTGGCCTCGCCTTATGTCGTCCTGGAAGATCGCTCTCTTATCGACAACGACCATCGATGCGGTCGAATACGCAGAGAGACGAATATATACGGGCGATTTTTGATGAGTTCCGCTGAATGCTCCCTCCAATCGTGATTATCCCCATCGGGAGGACAATCGGCCAGCATAGTCGAAGTTTTGGTAACAACCGGTACGGGTTCCATCAGAAGCGCTCTCGAGGTCACTCAGAGTTCCGCAAAGCGACCGACATGCGCCAGAAAACTTCACCATCTGCATACGTGTGACACGCTCTATAGCGTGGCATTCGACAGAGATAAGGAAACACACTCTGAAATGAGCTGTACGTATACGAATGAAATATCAGTACCCGGTTCCATTCAATCGGAACGACGCCGGGCACGATGTATCTCTGATCGAGAGTTCCGTAGGACGTACGACTCGTTTGACGGGGAACTAGCAGAGGAATTGCCGAATATTTGTCTCCTTTCCGTCCATGTCTGTTGGCGTAACCTTCCGAATTCGCCTACTGCGAGGAAATTGTGGTGAACTCGTTATCGCGATGTGTGTCTTTACAGAGGAGGGAAGAAAGAGGACTGTGTCATCGAGATCAAAGAGTGACTGGCTGCGCTGACGGAGGAGCTGCACCTCTCCTGCACTTGTCAGATGCCCTTTCCGTCCCTCGTGGGAACCGCGACAGCTGTTTTTGCAGACTCATTTCCGTACTCTACTAGCAGCTTCCATAATTCCAACTCGACAGGCTCAGGACGGAGGATTCGGCAGTACCAGAGCATCGCTTCATGGATTCGCAATAGCATACTCGCAAGAGCAAGATTATGTGAGAGGTCATCCTTGTTCGACGAGCACTTAGGGAATTATTTCAAAATACTACGCCGCATCGGAATGATGGTATCTTGTCTCTCCTCTGATCGAGAGAAACACATTCCACAGAGGAAGAAATACCGAGCATCGGTGTTTACAGAACTGTTCTCGACTTGAGCGAACAAAGAGATCCCGTATTCAGCCCCGTCATTGTTGTAGCCAACATAGTGCTCGAGGTTTTCTCCACAGAATGAATGAGTTCGAACTCGTCGCGAGAAAAAATCCAGATATCGCTAGAAGAATACATTCCACAGAGAATGATGTAGCGTGAGACTTTGTAAGGAATATCCGATTCAATGATTCCGTGGAACGCACGTGCCCTGCCTCCGCAACGAGAGGTCGAAAGACGTTCAGCCTGTAAGGTGCCCCATCCCGTCGACCGAGATCTTCTTGGGAACCTCACCGAAATCGATTCACAAGCTAATGGAGAATATCTCAGAGCTCAGACCAACCCCCCCCCCCCGCCGCTCTACGTCCGCGCCACAGTCCTTGTTGAGCGGGAGTTGGGGTTGAGCTATATGAATTGGGGGAGCGCATCGTTCCAATGTCGAAGTCCATCGAGCAGGTCTCCAGAGACGACAACCGCCCCCACTACGATCTTGAATGGCAGTGGAACATTTCCGAGATTCCCATACGAAGGTGTTCAAGTGAAAAGAGACCTCGACCGTGAAACAGAAGCTCGCTGGGCTCGCCCGGTGATTATATGAAGCTCAACGTAGTCCGGGCGGTCCAGTGGGACAATCTGAGCCGAAGTTCCTAATCTCGAACTCGTTCTGGCCTCGTTGGTCCACTTTAGTCGGGATCGCGCACCACCCACGTTCAACAAGCTCCGGTCTCATTCTGTTCTCACATCTGACTATGTTCCGTTGATACGAAGCCGCACACTTGCGAGGGCCCAAATCCGAGATAATTCGGAGAGAACAGTTGACGCATGGGAAGAGCGAGAGCACGAAGTTTCGGAGAATTCACTTGGGAAAAAGAAATTCGGACGGACCGCGATCAGAACACTAAGCTCATATGTTGCCACGAGACTCGCACCCCGGACGCGTGATCCTCGCGGAGCTCATGTCAATTATCGTCATTCTTAGACTGTTCCGTCGACGAGATCGTCGCATGGTCGCCTCGGAGCAAAAGTTTTAATTGAAGGAGGCAGAGTCGGATAAACAGCGAAAAAATGACAAACCCGATGGCGAGGCTGCGGCTCTCATTACGGGGCGTCACGGGGCATTGGACGTCGGGCCGGATTGTCCTCTGACACCACTCCAATCATGCCGACGCGACACCGTAATATCCCCTGAAAGCATTCAATCGATGATGATTATGGTCGTTGAGCATTGGCGGACGTATCGTTCGCACTGGCCACATCGACACGATCAGTGCGGCGCAAGGCGTCAACGCCGAGACTGGTCTCATTCTGATCAGTGCACATCTGCTGGTGCAGGAAACCTCCTTACGCTTGAGGTCTCTGCCCAGGACGATTCGGTAGAGGGAGCGCGTGAAGCGGGAATGAGCCGCTATACGTTTCCCACGGGATACAGTGGGGTCTGGAGGGAGAATGCTTCGTGGAATTACGGAGGGCCTTCCATTTGTCAGAACAATCGTCAGCTCGGCAGTCGACGGCTCAGAACCCGCTCGCTCGCGAAGAGACGGTGCCAGCGGAGGCCACGGCCATATCAGGGACCTCGTATTCTCTAATTCGAGAAGTTAAGGTTTATAAAAAGTTCTATTGCTCTCCTGCTCCTCCCGGACAATCGCCTCAGGCCCGATTCAGCAGCTATATGTCTATGAAGCAGTATATTCGATATCAGCCCGCTACTCGATCCAGATTATTCGTGAAAGCCGCGACGGGACACGCTGAATAAATCTAGATGATTAGGAGACTGCTTTTACGATTTCATCATCGAATACACAGGACGATCGCCACTAATGGGCACACCGAATGTGATATTCGGTCGGATGGTGAATTTCCAGGCCGGCTTGGCATCGTCGTAGATTCCCTGTCAGATTCCCTGTTGAGCGACGTTTACAGCTTCCCTCAATGAAGCTGGTGTCTCAATGTGATGCTTAGCTTTCCATTCAGAAGCCGCTGACATTTAACACCATCCGAATGGGTTTCCGAGCTTCGGAGAGAGCCAACCATAACGTCGGGCTGAAGGGGAAAAAACTGCCGAATTCATAATTATCTCATTCTCGCCTTACGCTCCGACGCATTAGTGACGTCCGCCGTTCTTCTCCAGAGTCTCATAAGAGAAGTAAAAACTTCAACCACTGTCACGGTCCACCGTGCACGTTTCTCGCTTCGGATGTGTCGCATGCGACTCGCAGAATCCGCACAAGACGAATTATATTTATCGCTAGCTGTAGCGACTAGCTGCGACAGTGGGATATCTGGTTTCGGGAATGTTTCCCAAGTTGATATCTGATTTCTTTGTCGGGACCCTAGTAGGTTACACCCTCAAGGTCCTGTCACCGCAATCGTCTATGCGCCCCATTGACCCGAGGAGCTCCGAGAACTGCGGGCAATTCTCATGACGAAAAGCATTGAGCCGAGTGCTGCCGCAGGCCAGAGCCCGTTCATATATTTCGCAGATTTATTATTTGGCTCCCTTCACTGAACAATGTGGGGGAGTAGCAGCGGAACCAGCGAAGAAATCGAAATAGAGTTTGCATTAGGCCTCTCCTTCTATTTTTCACTTGGCATTTTCACAAATCTCAGTGTCGAAATGGATGATGCTTGCCGAATTCGAGCACTGAGGGACTTTTAAACTCGGAGCACAAGTTTGACGCGCAAGATTGAGAACTCGATCGTTCGTGATTCGACCTGCACTGAGCGCGACTTTCACTCGAATGCTTTATTGAAAATGTGCATGTGGTGTCTCTTCAAGAGAGAGTGAGATCGTTCACAAGTACACAAAGGCGGGAGATATGAATAGGAGAATTTTACACAATAATTGTTTGGAGGATAGGAAATTATTGACACTGCCCCCCTGAAAGGATTCTGTTTCAGCACGCCTCCGGAATGACCTCCGCGGTTGAGTTGTCATTTTGCTCCGGAATCTCAAGAGGTACGAGGAGTTGGGCTGCGCGTGTAGTTTCGAATCCATTGGCGAACGACAGCGTACGTTCTGACAGCACCATCCCTCCCTGGGCGCGATCCCGTAATACGGACGAGGTTTCCTTTGAAACGCGATGTAGCCCCTTCACAGAGTAAACAAATGGAGCCATCTGGAATCGGTCGAGGTTTGCCTCTGTCGTCGAGATTGACGGACCGAAGCAGTAAGAGGTAATCGCGTTGCCAGCGCGTAGACAGCGACTTGAAATAATTAGTCCTGAGTCGTAGATTTTTGCGTAGCTGCTCGCCGTCCGGCGGCGTGAGCTGTACTTGACCGTTCGGCCCGAGTCCGTCCAGCGTGGCGACGGAGCAGAGCGGAGGGCTCGAAGGACCTCCACGCAAGAAGTGAGACGGGGTGATGGCCCGAGGTTCGTCCACATCCTCATAACAGTAGGAGATGGGACGATTATTGATGATGGCTGCCATCTCCCGAATAATTGTTCGAAGTTCCTCGAAGCTAATCAGACTTCGGCCGAGCGTCTTCATAAGGGCAGCCTTTGTAACGCCAACAAGCCGTTCGAACACTCCACCTCTCCAAGGTGCGCGAGGGCAATTGAAAGTCCAGGTGATCCGGTGTTGAGCGAGTAATTCCCGCACGGCGGGGTCGCGAGACGAATTAAACAAGCGTCGAATGTCCGCGGCGGCGCGAACGAAAGAGCGGCCGTTATCCGAGACCAGGAGACGACAACTCGGGTGCTCGGCGAGGAAACGGCGCAGAGCTAGGTGCGTTTGCACGGCTGACAAATCGGGGACGAGCTCTAAATGAATTGCACGGATGCTCATGCAAGTTAATAAAGCAATGTAACTCTTTTGGATACCCTCCCGCGAGCGGAACTGGAAGGGACCGCAGAAGTCAATGGCGGTGGCAGCAAAAGGAGCGGTCAGCGTAGTTCTCTCGATCGGGAGCGGCGCCTGGACTTGGTCGGCTGCGGGTCCATGCAAACGTCTGCAAATGACGCATGCTCGAAGGATCTTTTTGATGAGCTGCCGACCTCGGAGAATCCAAAAGCGTTTTCTGAGTGAGTTCAGAACGGTGCTGACGCCCAGGTGAGCATTCGTGCGATGATGATGTAGAATTAGCAAAATAGCGAGTCGGCTATTACTGGGGATGATTATTGGATTCCTCTCGTCCTCAGTGAATTGCGGGCCTTGCGAGATTCGCGAACTGGCGCGTAGTAGCCCCTCGCTGTCGAGATGTAGGCGATAGGTGTGCAACTTAGACGATCGAGTGGGACGTTCCCCCGCGAGGGTGGCATTGATCTCTTGCGAAAAATGCGAAGCCTGGCTCCACTTGATGATGAGCGACTCCGCTCGCGAGCGTAACTCGCCAGCTGAGCTCATGGGACGAGATCGGCAGAGTTGAATGAAACGGAGCACATTCGCGACGACACGGACTGCTTTCTCCCAATGTCCGAAGCGTTCGAGATCTATCAACGACGAATTTACGACCACGGGTGTGACTACTAGGCGGATTTCAGTACTAATTGAATCCGGTTTGTCACGACTGGCCCGGGGCTGCGTTATCGGTCGAAGATCTTCAGAATCGGATAACCAAGATGGCCCGAGCCACCAGGCTGTGTTCGGAATGAGCTCGTCCGCGGGGACACCCCTCGAAGCGATGTCCGCGATGTTTTCCTTGCCGGGAACGTGAAACCAATTCAGAAGGCGACGAGAGCCTTTGAATTTCGATCACGCGATTGCAGACAAATGTTTTCCATTTCGTAGGATCAGCTGACGTACACCAGTGGAACGCGACAGTAGAATCGGTATAGTGGAACACCCGCTCGACCGACACACTCAGGCGTTCGATAATGAATGATCGCAGTCGGGCCCCCAGAAGGGCCGAGAGTAGCTCAAGGCGCGGTAAGGTCGTGCCATCTCTTGGGGCGACCCGAGATTTCGACATCACGAGCATGCAGCTGCTGCCTCCATTCGCGTATATGCCCTGAAGATAAGCACATGCAGCATACGCTCGCTCACTGGCGTCTCCGAAGACGTGGAGATGATAGGATGTGATCTTTCGTTGCGTATCCCAACACGAACGGGGAAGACTGAGAGTGGTGAGCATTGGAATTTCAGACGACCACGTCGTGAAATCCTGCAGAAGAGCGCCCGACATGGCGTCGTCCCAACGGAGTTTCGTGTCCCACAATCGTTGTATTAGCAGTTTTCCTCGAAGTGTAAATGGGGTGAGCCAACCGATTGGATCGAAGATGGAAGCGACAATGCGCAGTACGTTGCGCTTCGTTACTCGTTTGATGTCCGTAGTAGTCTTGACAAGATCTGCGAGCTGGAAGTGGAAACTGTCCTCGCCTGGGGACCAAGCAATTCCAAGCACCTTCAGAAGACCGGTCTCGACAAGTCCGGGGGTACATCCAGATGAGGTGATAGAGTTCACATGCTGGAGGATCTCCTCGGAATTCGACTTCCATTTCCCGAGAGTCATCCCAGCAGCCCTCATCCAAGGTATGAGCTTTTCAACGAAATGCCTGGCATCCTCAATGGAGTCGAAACTACGCAACATGTCGTCGAAATAGAATGAGTTGCCGAGGTCGAATTTCGACTCAGGATCAATCCGCCCGAAGTGCTCTCTGAGAACAGCAGCCAGCAGAAAGCCGCTGGGCGTCGCTCCCCATACGACTTTGCGCATTTGGAAACATCGGACCTCTTTATCCTGAGGTCCCTGCCAAAGATATCGGAAATACGGTCTGTCCTCCTCGACGAGGTTGATGGTCATATACGCTTGGGCGACATCAGCTGACAATGCGACTGGACGCAGACGGAAGTTGAGCATTAGCTTGAGTATATCCGGGTTTAGGTTCGGACCGGTTAGTAGATGGGAGTTAAGCGATGTCTCTCCGGGCGCAGCCGCTGAACCATCGAAGACGATTCGCCATTTGTCTCCGTGGGCGCGTTGTGTTATGACTTGACGATGCGGTAGATAGTAGGAACGGTCACGTGCGCTTGGAGCACTGAGATTGTCGACGTGGACTTCTTCGGCGTGGCCCTCCATGAGGAATTTCGATATCTCCGCATCATAACGTCGGAAGGACTCCTGGTTTCGAGACAGGCTGCGCCGCTTAGCAATCAAACGATTCCGAGCTATCTCCAAGTTGTTCGAGAGCTGGAGGATTGACGGTCGCTTCGGCATGGCGACGGTGTAGCGCTGACCATCATACTCGACGCTGTCTTTAAATTGTTGCATGGCGTCGACTTCAGCCGCGCTGTATTTCCTCTCATTCGAATCGACTATGCCGACGGCATCTAATGACCACAGACATTGTATATCCTTGGCGGTCTGCGTAAGGGTCGCTGGACAGCAGATGGGATGAACGCGGACAACTTCCCCACGTGTGGTCTTGGGTCCGTATGCACCGGACAGGATCCACCCGAAGCGTGATGCCTTTGCAATGAGACCATCGGCGAGAATTTTCTCCGAGTTCAGATGTAGAATCTTATACATCTGATCGACGCCGATCAGCAGGTCAGGCTCCATGTCGAACTCAGGGTCGATCAAAGAAGCGTCGGCAAGCTGGTGAGTTTTACCGAATTGACGGATGAGCTCGCGCATCTCCTGCGAACAGTTTGCGGGCGGGTCGACGCCGAAAGCGTATTCATGAGCCTGGATGACAACCTTCTGTGAATCGTCGTGAGTTCCGACCAACTGGACTGCGTAACGGTTTGCGACGAGTGCGTGTTCACTGGCGAAGGCTTGAAGCTGTAAATCAACCCGCGCCTGGGGCCGCATGTCCGATAGCTGTCCGATGAGCCTCGGTGATACAAAGGAAACCATCGACCCGCTGTCAAAGAAGCATCGGACTCGGATTCGGTGCGCGCCGTGGACGACGAATGCAGAGGCCGTCATGACGATTGAGCGAATGGTCGAAATGGCTG